TCTTATATTGTTGACGTCTTTTAATTCTTTTGTAAACAAAAGGTTCTTCTTCTTCTTCTTCTTCTTCTTCTTCTTCTTCTATTAGCTTTTATTTGGCAGTTGGCAAACAACTTTAGGTGCATTGCCGCCACTTTCTGAATTGGAGTATGGATCAGAATCTAATTCCCATCCTTATATTATCATGCATACATGTTTATATAGCTAAACATAATNTAGAATAGAATAGAATAGAATAACTTTATTGTCTGTCCCAGATGGTGACAGAAATTTTTCTTCGACAGGGCTCCAACAACAGCATACATGCAACACACTCAACTACCCATAAAAACACATAAAAAGGACTGTTAAAATCAACTGTTAAATACATTACACTACTATTATTTAAAAGTATTCAGAGTGGATATTGCAAGCGGAATAAAGGACGTTTTGCATATTGCTTTACAGGCCAGAGGAACTTTAACCTTCTGCCTGGGTGAGAGGGGTCCTCTGTGATCAAGGTGGTCTTCTTCATCAGAGTGGTTATGCAGCTGTGAAACAATAGACATCATAAAGGTCATAATCCAAATCGCTCCACAGAGGTGACACTTCATACTCGAGCGTACTGACAGCCTGACGAATTCTTTTAATTTCTCGCAATTTCAGTCATAATTTCAAGGATGGGGAGGAAGAGATAGTTTGCATTTTAGCTTTATAACAACAAAAAAAAGAAAAAAAAGAAAAGAACTATCTTACCCAGGATCTGAGCTATTTCCTCCCTCAAATTTGTTGCTCCCTGAAAGTCCTAATATTCCTTCATTGACGCATCATAAAGTTTTCTAATCTCTTCCATGAGACGCTCTTTAAGGTTTGACTCCATTTCGTCCACAAATGACACAGATTCTCAACTTTATCTGCTTGGTGTCGCATCCAAAACCGTAGGCTACTCTCCAGTGCGCACCGCGGACGTAAAAAAACGATTTCTGCGCAGACCAGTCCGAGGCTGTGTCCAAAACGGCAGGACGGGTCCTCTGAAGGCCGAATTCGTCGGCCGCATACGTCACAGCGCCGCGACGAAGGATGTCCCAAACCGAAGACTCCTCCGATGCGGCCAACAAATACGGCTGTGTCCAAAACGGCAGGACGGGTCCTCCGAAGGTCGAATTCGTCGGCCGCATACGTCACAGCGCCGCGACGAAGGACGTCCCAAACTGAAGACTCCTCCGATGCGGCCGACAAATACGTCCTTCCTTTTCCCCGATTTGAAGGACAGGTCCGATGGATCCTTCCCGGCCCAGCAAATCCCATAATTCATTGCGGCCCGACCGGAGATTTTTTTAAGCTAGTAATGGCAGACGAAGCAAGAGAAAAGAATACGGTTTAAATAAAAATATGGCGATAAAAATAAATAATTTTTTTAGCGGTTGTAATTCTAATACTTTTATCA